AGAGATTTCCGAGCGGAACACACAGCACAGACGGTCCTGCTGGCCCTGTGACACGGGAGGATATGCACTGCAGCCTGGGCACAGGGCCAAACCCAAGGGACCAGGGATGCCACTGGGGACAGGGAGGAAGCAGGACAGTGACAGGGGCAGAGGCTTCTTGTTCCCACCTGCACAGCCCCACCAGGGAGGTGCTGAAGCAGTGCTTGGGCCAGGCAGGAATGAGACCAGTGTCCTGCAGTGGATCAGCCCAACTGGGGGTAACGGGTTTGCCAGCACTGGGCTAAAGTCCATCAGGAGACACAACTAATAAAAGCACCTGATCCTCAGCAAAACTCTGCGTGACAGCAGCTCAGCAAGGCACCAAAGTCCACCCGGGGCTCAGCATCAACACTGGGAATCCACCTTGACACCAACTCTTCACCAGCACCAGGAGGACCCAGGGCTCAGCCTGTCCCACCACTCAACAACAGGGAGCAGGTCACACGAGCTACCCAGAAGGTTCCCCACCCCAGGGAACAACAACGGGAACCTGCTTCCCAGGAAGATCATCCACGTTTCTGTTGTAACAACAAACACAGGTTTTTGCTGGGTAAATAAAAAGGAGTATTATTTCCGGCAGCCTGGTCTCTTAGGAACAGCTCTGGCCAGGAAAGGTCAGCTATTTCTCAATTCCTCACCTTTCTACATCGCTTTGTTTGTGCAACTGCCGACTCCCACGCACAATTTAAGGCCAACATTCCTGAATTAGTGTCTGTATGCAGGGACAGACAGACAGGACCAGCCCCCGCCAGGGAAGGGCTCCACCACCCCCGCTCCACCGCCGAGACCAGACACGCTCAGTGCACGAGTGACTGCCAACACCTGAAGTCACAACTCCCAAAAAACACCCCCTGCCACAGCTTTTTTCCTTGTATTTCGGAGCTGATTCATACCAGCGCGTTAACCCTCTCACCTGCACGTCGAAGCTCGCCAACCGCCCTCGCTCCCCGCTGCTTTTCACACCCCGTTTTACCGGCCCTGCAGCACCAGGAGGAGCCGAAGGGCTCCGGGACACGACAAGCT